CCGCAGCTCCTCGTCGATCTCCTCCTCCAGCTGCACCAGGGTGGGCGCCGCCACCCCGAAGCGCCAGGCCCGGCGGCCCAGCTCCAGCAAACACAGCACCACGTTCTTCACGTTCTTGCGCAGCACCAAGTCCTCCGTCTCGAACATCAGCACCTCTGGCAAGGGGAGGGGGGTGGGTAGGCCGTCTGAGCCCCGCTGGCCTTTCCGGAGCCAGGCGGTGGCAAGTCTGGGTCCGAGGATCCCAATTGACACCAGCGCCCGCGAAGGGTCTGGGCAGGATTGGTCCGGCACTGAGTGCAGACAGGGTGGCTCCTGTCACAGGAGAGGGCAGGTTGGGGACGGGAAGAAGTGACCCAGCCAAGCAAAGGACCCTGGGGCCTGACTGTGAGACGGGGTGAGGCCAGAAGCAAGAAGCGGTTTGTTCTGCTTCCTCCTCTGACCTCCAGTAGCCTCCAGGCATCTCATCCTCTACCTCCAGCCCAGGTGTCAGGAGGCAGGGCTGAGTACGGGGCTGGGAGCCTGATCACCAGGGATCCTTGACACTCCCACCCGCCAGCTGTGTGACCTTGGGCTAGTCCCCGAGCCCTCAGTCTTCTCTTCTGTAAAATGGGGATATAGTCTATTTCATGGGATTGTTGGGTTTGCAGACACAGCCCAGCACATAGTAAGTGCTCAATAAAACACTAGCCTTGCTCACCCCTCCAACCCTGCCCCTCACTGCCTTGCCACCAGCCAGTAGCCCGGCCTACCCCTCCCCTCCTCACACCCTCGGCCTTTGGCCTGGAGGATGGCACAACATCCAGTTCCCTCCCACTGCTGGTCCCAGGCCCAGGAGATGAGGGACCCTGACACTCACTCCCCTGAGTCTCACTAGCCCCAGCACGACTGTCCCCTCCCTAATGTCCGATGCTTCCTCCACTGTTCTCTCAGCACCTCGCCCCAGCCTGTGCCCTCACCCACAGCAGCTTCTCCCAGTCACCAAACAGTGCTGCCCCTGCTGGTCCCCTGCTTTTCCCCCAAACTTCATGCCTCAAGACTCAGCTCACACTTCCTTCTTCGATGCGGCCTCTCTCCGCTCCCATCTTCCACCTCATCAGGCAGCTGTTCCCTCCCCGGCGCTCACACCCTTCTCCTGAGCTTTTATCACAATGGGCTGTCATGTATGTGTCTGCTCACTCATCCGTCTCCATTCCTAGACCCTGAACTCCTTGGAACTGGGGATCAGAGCTCCCCGTCCTCGGTGCTTCACACAAAGGAGATAGGGACTCAACATGTGTTTGTTGAATGAATGAATCATTCAACGAACACCTTTCTTTACCAAGGATTTACTATGAGGTGGGGAAACGGAAGGATGAAAAGGGATGAGCTGGCCCAAGGCAAATCTGGAAGGAGGACCCTGGCTGTTGGCCCTCAGTGCAGCCTGGGCCTCGGAGAGGAGGGGGGCGCCCAGCAAGGTAAGGGTCTGGGGAAGGGGAGGGCTGGGAGGGGGGTACCTTGGATGCCCATCTCCTTGCGACACCACTCGATGAAGTTGGAGACGTTGTCCCGGGCCTGGAACGTGCCTGGCTGGGCAGCCCCATTGCAGGACACCCCGGCCCGAGGCACGGGAATCCTTCGGGCTCGGGCAGGTGCCGCAGCCAGGAAGGCCAGGGCAGCCTCGGTGATGGCGTTGGCATGCCGGCACAGCACCAGGCCTGTCTCCAGCACCTGCAGGAAGTTGGCAGCACTGATGTCCAGCCCATAGAGATCCCGGAGCCACTCGGCCAGGTCCTCCTTCATGGCTTCCAGGTACTGCTCGCTGGACTTAAAGGGCCGGACGCTGCGCACTGGCGGCCCTGGGGTCCCAGACCTCCTCCCTCGTCCCCCACGCTGGGACATGGCTTGACCCTCAGTGGAGGAGGAGGAGGTGGGCACCTCTTCTCTCCTGCTCTTTGTCTTCACTCCTGCCACCTGCTGTGTCTTGGCTGGTTCTCCCTGACTCTGGGTTCCCCTTCTACCCTGGGAGAGCCTCGGATTTCAGGTTCTGCCACTTGCCACTGGCTTCGGCCGCCTCCCCCAGGCTGGCCAGGTCCCGCCCCCTCCCCGCATCCCTCAGTCCCTTCCAGGACTTTCCCTACTTGGTGGCCCTGCAGCAACCTCACTCTTTGGCTGCCCAGCGGACCCAGAGTTCGCCCCCTGCCAGGACAGATGGAAGTGCGGACACTCCTGTCTCCCCTCCAGGGCTGGACAGGTCCCGCTGGCTGCCTCCCACCCCCCACCGCCAGCCGGACCTCAATGGAGCCTGGCCTGGCCTCTCCACCCTCCTTTCTTCTCTCCTCTCCTTGGAGACAGCGGCTGCTACAAACACTCCTTGTTAACTCTTCCTGGCAGGCAAGGACTGCCCTGCAGAGCCTGCCCTGGAGCTGGAACAGGGAGGAGAAGGGGGGTTGAACACGGTGGAGGCTTCTGGGGCCTGGGGGGCAGGGAAGGAGGGCCAGGGGGTGCCGCGGTGGATAGTGAGCACTGTAGGATGGGGATGAACACACACGGTGACAGAGTCTAAAGACATGAGTTTAGCCCTGGACCCTCTGCTAAGGCCCTCTGTGACCTTCATATGCTACCTAGCCTCTCTGTGCCTTAGTTTTCCCACGTGTAACATGGGAATGCTACTGTCTACCTCCCTGGGGTGTTGTGAGGGTGAGGAATAAAGGTATAATGTATGTGGAAAGTGTCAGACTGTAAGAACACACACGCTCGGGGCAGGGTGGGTCCCAGCTCTCGGTGATTCTCCCAGCATCCTTGTCTACACACCATGACCCCACCCCCACCCCCACCCCCGCACTTTCTTTTGAGAATCTGCACATCCCTAACTCTACCCACATGATTCCTCCACAGTGGACTGTCGCTCATAGTACCTCACCCCAGGGCCACAGCAATGCATTCATTCAACAAGTATGTCTTGAGTACCTACTGTGTGTCAGACACTATTATAGGCCTAAATCTAGAGCAATCAATGAGGCCCCTGACTCGATGGAGGCTGCTTGCATGTTAAGGGGTGCTGCTTGACAAATAGCAAACAAATAAATCTATAGTGAGTCAGATGGTGCTAAACACCAGGCAGAAAACTAACGGACCAAAGAGATGGGTGTGTGTGTGTGGAATTTTATATAAGGTGGTCGGGCAATGCCTCACTGATGTGATGATATTGAACGGAGACCTGAGAGAAGTAAGGGAGCAGGACCTGCAGGGATCTGGGGGAAGGGTCCTGGGGCAGAGGGAACAGCCAGTGTAAAAGCTCTGGCAGCCTGGCCTGCGTGGCTCAGTAGCTGAGCATCGCCCTATGAACCAGAAGGTCACGGTTCAACTCCCAGTCAGGGCACATGCCCGGGTTACTGGCTCTATCCCCAGTAGGGGGCGTGCAATAGGCAGCCAATCAATGATTCTCTCTCATCATTGATGTTTCTTTCTCTCTCTCCCTCTTCCTCTCTGAAATCAATAAAAAATATTTTAAGAAAAGCTCTGGCAGGAGCCTGCTTGGCATGTTCCAGGAATAACAGAGGTGGGATCTGGGGCAGAGAGGGAACGGGCAGAGCATGCAGGGCTTTTCTCGACCTTTTAGAGGGGAAGTGTCTTTCAATTACCTTCTAAAGGCATCAAGGCCTGATGGTTGTCCCCAAGAAAACCGGAGCAGCAGGAGGCCCTAGTTCCTCACTTATATGATCCTCTCAGCGGGGTTGAATGTCCTCATGCCAGGCAGCTGGGTTTCCCCTGAGCTAAGGCAGTGAGCTGGCCGTGGGTGAAGTGGGGTGCAGGGCTGAGGAAGGATAGGTATGGGGCGCGGGTACAGTGTTTTGGCCAGGTTCAAGCCTCGGACTAATGAAAGGACAGGGTCCTCTCATTGCCACGTGCAAGTCCCAGCTGGAGGGCAGGGCCCTCCCAGCACAATCATAGCCAACAGCTATGGTTGTAAGCTTGAACGTATGGCCCGAACACGTGGCCCCACGTGCCTTGTGCTAGAGTTCAGGTGCATGTAGTTGAGTGAGGTTGAAACTCACGAGAATGCCGTAAACAACGTGATCACGCCCCTACTTTGCCTCGTGGCATCTGCTATAAAATAAAGACACGGCTTGTGGGCGGCGTCGTTGTCTCCTCATCAGGGAGGCAGTGTCCCGTCCCACCGAGACCCAGCTATTATTCTCTTGTCTGTCTTTCCTTAATCCTTTCAGCCCTCCACTCGGGATCACCCTTGGCCGTGCTGGTGTGGCACAGATAGGGATAGAACAGAAAGGGGAGGAGAGAAAATAATGATACAATAAGCAGTGCTCTAGGTGGATTCTGTGGGCCAGGTAAAGTGGTTCTGTACCACAACATCTGGTTTACAGATGAGGAGACTGAGGGTCAGAGAGAGAACATGCTGAAGACCAGACACCTTTAAGTATATATATATAATTGATTTCAGAGAGGAGAGAGAGATAGAAACATCAATGATAAGACAGAATCATTGATTGGCTGCCTCCTGCACGCCCCCTACTGGGGATCAAGCCCACAACCCCGGCATTTGCCCTTGACCAGAATCAAACTGGGACCCTTCAGTCTGCAGGCCTATCCACGGAGCCAGACACCTTTTATATTTATGTGCTAGAGCCCTAGTCTGTTTGGCTCAGTGGATAGAGCATCGGCCTGTGGACCAAAGGGTCCCAGGTAAAATCCCGGTCAAGGGCACGTACCTTGGTTGCAGGCTCCTTGGGCCCTGGCCCTGGTTGGAGGCAACCAATCGATGTGTTTCTCATATCGATGTTTCTCTTTGTCTTTCCTTCTCTCCTCCACTCACCCTAAAAATCAATGGAAAATATCCTTGGGTGAGGATTAACAAAAAATAAAATAAATATATTTATGTGCTGGAGCTAGGTTTGAACCCACCCTCTACTGTCTTTTAATGCCATTTCATGAGGAAGGTAGGGGATATCTGGGTGGAGGCCTAGAAAAGGCAGATTCCTGAGTGGAACCATATGGGCAGGTGAGGTTCTAGCCCCGCCCAGGTGATCCATCTGAAGCCCTGGAGACCAGACCAAGTTCTATGGGTTCTGCTACTTCCTCTCATCCTAGGCTCTGATCAGGCGAAGAAGGCAGCATCGCCTTGGGAAGGATGGATAAGGACGGTAAGTGGGGCTGGAGGCAGGGTGGGGCCAGAGGACAGGGTATCTTGACTACAGGGTGGACCAACCAGCTCATCACCATGGTAACCCCAGAGTAGAAGTCCAGCCTTTTTAAGATTATACCCATCCAGGTACAAACCCTCTCTTCTCTCTTTCCTGAATATTCTTGATATCTGCTCCCTCTTCTTTACCTCCTGCGATTCGGACTTTTGTCTTCTCTGGCCTGGACCACAGTGGGTCTCCCTCTGTCAGTTCTGCGCAAGTCCCTGCATCAGAACATTCAGTGGCTCCCGCTGCTGAAGGGCTGTGGCCTTTGGTGTTTAGTGAGCGTGGTGGGATGGGGATGAAAGGGACACAGGGATACAGTCCAAACACATGAGTTTAGCTCTGGACCCTTTGCTAAATGCCTCTGTGAACTTCATAGGCGACCAACGTCCAAACTCCATGGCCCGGCACCCAAAGTCCCAACCTTTCTTTCCAGTGCCCCCTCCTCCTGCAAAGTCCGCAGCAGCCCTCTCTGGCTGTGCAGTGGGTCTGGCCTTTCACAACCACAAAGCTCCAAGAACCGGCAGAATCTCTGGAGCAACTTTTCTTGGAAGGTTTCCAAAAACCTTAGATGAAATTTGCAGGCCCCTCCGTGACCTACCTCATCCCTCACCTAGCTGAGCGGGTTGTGAAGATGCAGGGACACGATGTGTGAAAAGAGTCTAGGGTGGTGATTGCATGTAATTGGTGCTTAATAACGTGAGCTAGAATGCTAATGCGATTAGGATTCCCCTTTGTCTCCAACCTCTTTAGGTTAGGCAGGCATCGATGGCAAGTCTTCTTCACCTTTCCAGGGCAGACCCCAGAAGTTGTGCCTCCTCTGTCACCCTCCCCCTTTTCATTACAAGGCTGGCTCCCCAGGTCCAGCTGACCACAGGGCACACCAGGGTGCTGGGCTAGTGTTTGCTGCTGAGGGTGGACACCCCCCCCTCCCCCATCAGGCAGGTTACTTTCCATGTCAGCCCAGGAACTTCCTGCCCGCAGGGGCCACTGCTTAGAGCCAAACAAAGACATCAGCAAGAGGGGTCGGTGGCGGCTGAATCTGGCTGGCAATTGGGGTCATGCCTGGAAGGAGGAAGAGACACTTTTTCCTAACGGGTCTGCCCATTGGAGGCCCCTTTTTCTAATCATACGAGGTGCTGTGTGCCCACTGCCCACCCACCCTCCACAGGTGATGCTGGGCTCCCTTAAGGCCAGGCCCACTTGGAAGAAGGAAGTCCCAGCTAGAAAACAAAACGTAAACAACCACGCGTTAGGATTCCAGCCAGCACACCATGTTTATTGACGGCCACAGACCAGCACCCACCCTAGAGCCAGTTAGAGAGAAGGTGATGCGCCCTCATTGGTGCCGGGTTCGAAACTCTCCTTGCTGCCTCCTGTTCATTGCTTCCCGCTGGCCAAGCCCGCGTGGGCGCCAGGCACTCAGCGACCTCACACCTGCCTCACATCAACCCCTGAAAGAGGCAATGCTCCCCCATTTCACAGGCGAGCAAACGGACTTGTCTCAATCATCAGTCCCAGGAAGCGCAGACACCTGGGCAATCAGGTGGGGTGCGGGGTGCAGCCAGGCAGACCCCGGCCTGGCCCGGGAATCCTGGACGCTCCAACTTTCTCTCGGAGTCCTGCCGGCTCCTGCGTACGCACCATCCTGGAGGTGCCTTTTTGGGGGGTGGGGAAGAGTGGGGTTGTGGGCACAGAAGAGTCAGGGTACGACCTTCTCTCCGTCCGCCCGCAGGCGTGAAGACCCCCTTGTGGAAGAAGGAGCCGGAGGAGCCGGGGGTCCGGGAGGAGGAGGCGGAGGAGGAGGGGTCGGAGGAGGAAGACGAGGGGAGGCAGCCGCCGGAGAGTGCGGCCGCGGGCGAGC